ATATAGGCAATCTCCTCTTACGTGGTTTACTGTCTCTGAAAAACCTGTTGGAGACTCAGCTGTGGGTTGTTTCTGACTCAACAGTAAATAATAAGGTACACATGGACCTCACCAGATAAAACACGCAGGAATAAAATAGTCTCCATTTGTGAAAATAGATAATGGAGAGAAGCTCAACATTGTTAGTCAGGAAAGGACCAGGGCCTAACTGTGGCATAGACCAAGATTTGCTCTTCTGTAAATTAAAGTGAAGCTGAAGATAAATAAGTCAACAAAAACCAAAATATGGCTTTGAGTATAGTATGTCTGAAATGAAAGACCATCTCCACAATAGATTAGACTCATTGACCACTAATTACTGAAGATCAGATGATTTGGGAGATGACATTAAGGATAATTGTTGTTGTTGCTGTTTAATGCCGTCGAGTCGTAGACGATTCATAGTGACCCTATGAACGAACAGCCTGAGCACTGTTCGTACATAGAGTTTCTGGAGGCAAGCCATTTCGGAAGTGGATGCTGCTCCTGCTTCCAGGCTTGATTTAGTCGGGAAGCTCCAGCCAATACTGTCCACCATGGGTGCCCATTACCACGATTGGCACATCACTGTCACAGGCTTCAGCATCACAGCAACCACGAGTTACCTCTGTACAGCAACGCACAGACCAGTGCTATACCACCTAGAAGAATGTTTGACAGGAAGACAATTTGAACCTGGCTGAGGGCCACAGATGAAAATCACCCACCTTCGGCTTGGTAGCACAGCTTCCTTCCACTAGGCCAACGTAGCTCTCTCTTGGTCGTCGTCATTGATTAAGGATAATACATGAAGAAATAAAAGGTCATTTTAAAAAACTAATAAAACCAGAAAGAGAGGAGACTCTGAACACAGACAGCTAAAGAAAAAGGAGAAAAATGAAGGTTCAAAAAAAGCAGAGCAGAAAACTTCAAAGAGCAGCTAGAAAAAAATGCTGTTATTTTGAGGTGCTGCCTTGTCAACTGTGACTCATGGTGACCTATGAACAACAGATTGAGATCCTTATAAACGTCCTCAGGGTGTACACCAGGCAAAGATCACTGTTGCATTTTGTCAATCTATCTCATTAAAGATTTTCCTCTTTTTCAATGACTGGTGTCATAGTGGTAAAAAGCAGCACTGCAATCCTGAAGACGATTCGAATCCACCAGCTTCTCTGCAGAAGAAGGATGGGCAATCTCCTCCCATACATTTAACAGTCTCTGAAAACCCTCTGGAGGGTCAGCTATGAGTCAGTTCCGACTCAATGGTACACAGCAGAATACTTATAGAGTCAAATGTGCCAAGAGCTGGAGTTAGAAAACAAGGGAGAAGAACACTCTCAGAATTTCTTAAGGTTAACGAACTGAAGAATACATTCAAATCTCAGTGGAAATACTGAAGGATACTGTGAGACAAGACATTATATAGGGAAAGAAGACGTAAGGAATAGACAGTTACTTTACCGGACGTCATAGACTGTTGCTCAGCCATTTTAGAAGGTAGCATACGATCAAGAACCAAAGGTGTTGAAGAAGGACTTCAAGCTGCACTAAAAGTATTAGCAATAATCCGGGCCCCCGATATTGATGGAATACCTACAGAGATGTTTCCACAGACAGCTGCAACACTGGTTGTCTATGCAACACCTCACTTATCCCTGCCAAGAAATTTGGAAGAGAGCTGCCTGGCCAATTAACTGAATATGACCCATATATGTGTTCTTCCTGTAAACAGTGAGCCAGTGGGATATTGAAACTATCAAATAGTATCATTAATATAACACGCAACTAAAATTTTATGGAAGCTAATTCAAGAAATGGTTTTGGTAGTACATCAACTGAGAATGGCCAGAATTTAAGGTTGGATTCATAAGATGGTACTGAATAAGGAAGATTATTGCTAATGTCATATAGATCTTGGCTGAAAGCAAAGAATACTAGAAAGATGTTTACTCATACTTAGCAGCTATGTAAAAGATTTAACTGTTGAGTGTAAGAAAGTATGGGTATCATTATAAATAACAGTAATTCCATAGCATTAATGATGCTCATATGGAACTCGTACATGGACCTAGAGACTGTCGTTTGAAAAAACAAAGAAATCCTGTGAAATCAAGGAAAATGTGTATCAAGGTTGTTTCTTTCACTACGCTTATTTAATGTCTGCTTAGCAAATAATCCAGAAGGATGGATTTTATGACAAACAGCATCAGGCTTAGACAAAGACTCATTAACCACTTAAAATATACAGATAACATAACCTTGCTTGCTGAAAACAAAGAAGACTTACTGATGAAAATCAAGGACTTTTGGGTTTGGTATGAATTACACCGTATTACAAAGAAAACAAAAAGCCTTAAAAATGGACCAATAAGTAATGTCATGATAAATAGAGAAAAGACTGAAGTTGTCAGGGATTTAATTTCATTCAAAACTGATAAGCAACAGGTGGAAGCAGAAATCAAGGGATCTAATGACCAGTGGGTGAGTCTGCTACAAAAGACCTCTTTCAAGTGTTGAAAAGCAAAAATATTGTACTGATGTGTGGCTCTAAGACATGCCTGACTCAGAACATGATATTCTTTTAATATTATTATTTTTATTATTATTCATTTTAATTAAAATTTACAGATATTTTGGGTTTCCATTCATTCATTATTGCACTTTTCTCCCTGTCCACTCCCCGCTCCAGTTCGCTCTTCTCTTTGAAAAGCAAAAGAAAAATTCTTTCATTGTTCTACAATCCCCCCCACCCCCTCAAGTCTACTCCACTATGCAGCCTTCATTCGGGACTCCTGTCATGACAACAATACCTAATCACATATCCCTTTTAAACAGTTCTCTCCCTCATCTGTTGCAATGCATAATTTATCCCATCTTTCTCAGTCTCCCCCCAACCCTGATGTCATTCCCATTTTACAACATATTTTTAATAGGCAAAATATGGACAGTGAACAAGGAAATACACATATGCAAAATATGGACAACGAATGTGGAAAATATAAGAATTGAAGACTATGATGATGTTAGCAAAGCATCTTGGCTCTAAATTCTGGATCCACCAAAAGAACAAGCAAGTCTGTCTTGGAAGCAGGACGGCCAGTGTAGAGCATCTCCCCAGGTAAGTCACCTTTGCCATCCTCATCAACAATGCCCCTTGGGAGTAAGGATGACGAGGCTTTGTCTCATGTGCTTTGACATATTATCAGGAGGGCCTAGTTCCCAGAGAAGAGCACTATGCTCGGTAAAGCAGAGGTTCAGTGAAGAGAAAGGGCGTCACGGAGAAGGACTGACTCAGTAGTTACAACAGTGGGCTCAAACATAACAAGTAGGAGGATGACACAGGATGAGGCAGTATCTTATTTTGTTGTATGGAACATTGCTGTGACTTGAAATCAACTCCACAGCTTCCACCAATCTGGTCAGAGATTGTTACTGGGGCGATGGGTGCCTGGTACATGGCAGAATGTCTCCAGAGCTCACATGCCTGGGATTGCTAACCTGGTGGATTCTCAGGAGTGAGAGAGCGAGGGTTTTCTTGAATAACGACTTCCCTTTAAGTCCAGTTATTTGGGAGCAGGTCTGTTTCACTTGTTGCTGTATGCGTTGCTATAAATCCCAAAGTGAGGGGCTGGCTCTGGGGCCCGACCTGCAGCCTCCACTCTAGGAGTTGGCTTCTAGCGTCTTGATGGCAGTCACATCTTGATGTGATGGTGGTCACGTAAGGGAAGTTTTTGGGTTGTATTTGATGTGTGCTACTGTTCACCCCCCCAAAAAAAAGCAGGAGTCAATTTAACTTTTGACCAATGGTGGAGGCCTGCTAAAGGGTGTGTCTTCAAAATTCCCTCAGGCCATATTTATTAATTTTAGAATGAACATTCTTTAAGTTAAACATTAATCACTTGTCTATTTGCTGTACTGAAAAACTTGGAGTTGCTGTAACGCTGAACACTGTGCCGTAGTTGTGTCAAATACCATAATGGTTACCCATCATGCACAACGTTTGGATGAGCTTCTAGATTGATTCAAGTTGGGAAGCAGGAGTGGCATCCACTTCCTAAACTAGATGACTCTGGAAATTCTATAAACGTACAGAAATGGTGTTAGTTATAGAACAGAGTGCAGGTCTTTTGTACAAGGGTTGCTATAAGTCATATTTGAGTTGACAACACTTAACCACTGCTAAATGAGACTAGTGCTGTTATATCTGGAGGAACACTCTTCCACTTTGCACATCACTCTTTGTCAATGTGCAGTATGAAGTAACCTAGGTTTGCTGTGATGCTGAACCTTATGCCATTGGAGTATCAAATACCATAACGGTTTCCCAATGTGGACAGTGTTTGGTGGAGTTCCCAGTTATAAAAGAGGTTTGGAAGCAGGAGGGGCATCCACTTCCTAAACCACATGGCTCTGGAAACTCTATGAACTTGGAGAAATGATGATAGTTATAGAGAGGTATTAGGTCTTTTGTTCATTGAGTTTCTCTGAGTCCACGGCCATCAGCAACAACATGTGTTGCTGCTTAGAAACTTTTGGGCGATGGAGCAGGATATTAGAAGGTGAGGCCTGTTGACTCACAATCACATTCACAGAGACACACGCACAAAGTTAGAGGTCTTTCTGTCCCTTCCAATCCAGCATTCTCTCATATCCCCAGACTTGTGGGAAGATTGATCACTATTCGTAATCTTGCTTTGTGTATTTATGCAGATTAAAATATGAAAGGCACACAGCGCATTCTATCACCACCTGCTATTTCTTTGAGGTAGCGTCCAGATGATAAGGCTACAGTATAAAAAGTGGCCTGGACACTTGATCTGAGTGGAAGGGTCTGCCTGGAGCATCGGACAGGGTAAGTCACCTTTGTCACTCCTCCACCCGCAGTAACACCGAAGTCAGGAAAGTCTGTATTGATTCCCCAGTCTGCTCCTGGTTCCGGGAATGCCCGGCGACCCTGAGTATGTTTGCATTCATTGTAGATGCTGAGCATGTGGACTATCACATTCCTACTGCTGGGAGCAGCCAGTGGTAAGAAACACCACCCCTGCCCCTTGGGAAAGGTTTCTAGCCAAGCTCTCAGCCTTCAAGCCTTAGCCGCTGTAGGGCTTCCAGTGGCTCCAGGAAAACTCCAGATGCCGGGCAGTAGCAGAGAGCTGGCTCTTTGCCTGGGAATAGCTAGGCTGTTTGAAGGGAGCCTCCTGGACAGTGTCTCCCTGTGTCAGCTGTGTGCCCAAGTGCCCCGGATTAGTCTTTGGTAGGTAAGGCATGAAATGCTCCTATCAAAATGCAAATATGATGCCTGTCTGGCTTAACAGAGAGGCCCATTCATGCCCATTATCACATTAGGCAGCTGCCTCTCATAGTGTTTGAAGAATTCAAGTGTTAACCAAAACGAGAAAGGCTGGGTGGGCAGCAGGACTCTGTAAGATGGGCAGTCTTGTTTGGGTGAGGGTCTGAGGGTCAGGTGGAATATTTGGTAGTTTGTTGGGTTTTTTATTTTATTTAAGCCTCTTGTTTAGTGTCAACAAGACCTCCTGGAGGGGTCTTAGGCCCGTGGCCCTCGGCCTCATGTTATTCTATTTTGGAGAAACATTTTTCTAAGCAATTCAGCACTCTTCTGTCAGTTTGCTGTACTGAGGTAATCTGGGTTTGCTGTGATGCTGAACCTTGTGTCATTGGGGGAGGGGGGTCAAATGCCATAATGGCTGCCCATGGTGGACAGTGTTTGGTGGAGCTCCCTGTTTAAGACAGGTTGGGAAGCAGGAGTGGCATCCCCTTCCTAAACCACATGCCTCTGGAAACTCTATGAACTTGGAGAAATGACAATAGTTACAGAAAGGCGTCAGGTCTTTTGTTCATAGGGTAACTGTGAGTCATGCTCAACTCAGCAATCAAAAGCAACAAACAGCAACCACAAAGGTTGTGGATTGGAATCTACCTGCTGCTCTGCAGGAAAAAAGGCGGGCAGTCTGCTTCCACCTGGAAACCCTAAGGCCACTTCCACGCTGTCTTCAGTAGTTAGTATTAGTCCGAGCCAACTGGCAGGAAGTGGGTGGGCTGACCCCTGGTGACCTCATGTGCTCCACCCACTTCCTAAAGCTGGATTTTCAGTAGATTACCAGGGCCTTTCTTCCAAGGTGCCTCTGAGTGAGCTCAACCTGTAGCCTTTTGGTTTTCTCAGCTGAGCATGTTAACCATTTGCATCATGGGAGCCTTATTAGTCAGATGTAGATACAGATATAAAAAAGTCTCAGGAGAGCTTGATGCAGGGTTGCTGAGTTCTGAGTGGAGAATGTCTGAGTCTCTGTGGAGCCCAGTGTGGCTGGTGCCATGTCAGAAAAGGGACACAAAGGACTAGCGGAGTGGATGAGATAGTGACCAGCCACTCTTTTCACTGTCCCAATGTGAGGGACGGACCGCCAGTCTGAACAAGCCCAGAGACTTGCCAGGGGAGCTTAGACTTAAGCATATCCACCCTCTCCCTCCAGGAAAAGAAGTTTGCTATGATGAACTCGGGTGCTTTTCTGATGAGGAGCCTTGGGCAGGGACTGCAATCCGACCCCTGAAAATCCTCCCTTGGAGCCCTGAGAAGATTGGCACCCGCTTCCTGCTCTACACCAATGAAAACCCAAACACCTTTCAAGTGAGTCCTCCTATGGTTGCAACTGAGCAAGGGGATGTGCTCTCCCCACAGCCCGTGAGCTCCCCGGGGCTAGAGCTCTATTATCTCTGCCTCCTCCTCTGTCACCATATCCCATTCCTGCCCCACGTTCCTCTGGCCTGCTCTTCATCCAGGCCCACGCAGATCGGGACAGTGTAGGTCTTCAGTGAATGGTTCATACTTGTCAGACTACAGCTGGTTAGATGGTCCAAGCTTGGGGTGAAGACAACACAGTCCGGCAAGAACTGTAGGGAAAGTGAGAAGCAGGGTCTGTCTTCAGCCCAGATGGTGACTGGACCACAGCCCAGGTCCAGCAGAGGCAGTGATTACTGACTTGGGGAGGCAGGACAGGGAGGAATTCAAGGTGGACTTCATGAAAGAGGTGGCTTTTGTGCTAAGCCTGCCAAGGTCATGGGTTTGGGAGCAAAGAATAGGAAGGGGAAAGACAGGAACTGAGTGACCGTGACCACATGACACATTGTGTATTTTCAGACTCTCCTTCTCTCTGATCCATCCACGATCGAGGCATCAAATTTTCAAACAAACAGGAAGACCCGCTTCATCATCCACGGATTCATAGACAAGGGAGATGATGGCTGGCTGCTGAACATGTGTAAGGTAGGCGCCACCTCCCAGCCCGCCCTGCTCTGGACGCAGCCGCTGATGCTGCTCCTTTACGCAGCCCAGCCAAGGCACGACTCCGCTCAGGGGCTCACAGCTCCTGGATCAGGGACACGAAGGCACAACGAAGGGGCCTCTGTTCACACGAGAACAGAAACCCCACCTCACAATTCTGGAACATAGCTGATGACCCAAGTCAGGAAATGCCTTATATGAGCAGACTTTCCCCCCACCCCCTTCTTTCTATATTGTTACTTTTTTCTCTCCTCCCAACCCTCTCCCCCAGAACACTTCCCTCTTGGAAAAGTAAAATTCTTTCATTGTATACAATCCCTCCTTCCAGGTCCACTCCACTATGCAGCCTTGGCTCTGGACTCCTGTCATGACAAAAATACCTAATTACATATCCCTTTTAAACAGTTTTATCCCTCATCTGATTCAATGCAGTATACATTATTTAACCTTTCTCAGTCTCCCCCCAACCCCAATGTCAGTCTTGTTTCACAATAGCGGTAGCATGCAGTATTTGTCCTTTTGTGACTGAGATACTTCACTCAGCATAATGTCCTCCAAGGTCACCCATTTTAAACAATATTGCACAAGTTTCTTGTTTTTCAGTGCAGCATGGTATTCCATTGTGTGAATATACCAAAACTTCTCTATCCATTCGTTTGTTGATGGGCACTTAGGTTGTTTCCAACTCCTTGCTATTTATTGTGAACAAAGCTACAATAAACATGGGTGTGCATAGGAGCAGACTCTTATACGAGCAGACTCTTCCACTCCCATTTCTGGCTAAATCAAGGCTAAGCATTTCCTGCTCCCCTTTTCAGTGAGGTAAACCTTGCATTCGTATAAATGATGGTTCTGTTCTTCCTGCTCGCAATGTGTGCCCCCCACACCAAGAGTCAGAAATGTGGAACTGTGACCAATCATTTGAGACATGGAGAACTGAGAGGGATTGGGTGACTAAACGAGACAGTGCCAGAATTACGACACAGTACAGACAGGTGAGGAGATCTGATGGCACTGGGGTTAAAGTAGTCCCCTATCAACCAAAAGTTCAGCCATTCAAACCCACCAACCACTCTTTGAGAGAAAAATGAGGCCGTCTGCTTCTGTAAAGAACAGCCTTGTGAGCTGCGGGGTATTTCCTCTCTGCCCTACAGGGTCGCAATGAATCAGAACAATTCAGTGGCCGTAGGTTTTACAGCACCTGTTGGTTGAAAGGATAGACTGACAAGCATATATATACATCCATGTTCACACTCACAGAAACACACGCACAGAGATGCATGTGTGTACAAACACACACATCCGCTTGCACGCTTCCACATCCACACACTTGCCATCAGCCTTTCTTTTATGCATGCTTGATCCAATCTATTTTTAGCCACTAGCACTGATGCCAGCAACCCCTCTCCCACATCAACTTTAATAAGGACGAGGATACCGTAAACATCAACAGGAAAATTAATCTTGCCTTTGGCTTTAGTTTTCCAGTCATTTAACTTTTGGCATCTCTTCTGCCCCATAGTAATAAGAGGCAGGTTTGTTGATGTAGGGATTTGATGCACATTTATACTTAAAGCATGTGTGTAGGAGAAATCCCTCAGGACCACTTCAACAGATTCCTCAGCAACTACCAGCATCTTTGTGAGCGTGGTCACTCATGTTAGCATCCTATGAGAAAAACAACTGAGAGAGTGGATATAGCACTGTTTAAATCACAAGCCATTTCTATGTACAGCTTTGCAGGCTTCTAAGGGCATAGTGGAGCTATTCACCTTCTTCTTCTTCTTCTCCTCCTTCTCCTCCTCCTCCTCCTCCTTCTCCTTCTCCTTCGCCTTCACCACCTTCACCTTCTTCATCTTCACCATCTTCATTTTCTTTATCATTATTATTATTATTATAGTTCATTTACAAAATTTTAATGCATTGCTTTCTAGGACAGATTCTTCCAATTAGTGGAGCTCTGGGCATCCAGGAAGATGCCTGCCTTGCTGAATTCTTCCATCTCTTCTTTTTTTTTTCTCTTCCGTCTCTTCTAAATCAGCCCAATTATACTTCTGTAATGCCTGCAGTATGTGTTTCTTGCACAAACCACTATGTCGACATGACTATAAACAGAGTGATGCTGTCTTTCCCTCCTTCACCCTTTCCCCACACATCTTGTTGTTGTCAAATCAATTTCAACTCCTGGTAGAATACAGAGGAAAGCTGCCTCACGGTTTCCAGGCTGTAACCTTCATGGCAGTAGACTTTCAAGTCGTGCTCCTTCAGAGGTGCTGTGTGGATTTGAACAGCCAGTCTTTTGGTTAATAGCTGAGTGCTTAATTATTGCATCTCCTTACATACACACGAGGGAACTCTGGTGGCTTAGTGGTAAGGAATTGGGCTGCCAACCTGAAGGCACACGTTTTGAATCCACCAGCTGTTCAGCAAAAGAAAGGTGGGCAATGTCCTCCTGTACTTTTTTCTGCTTCTGAAAACCCCCTGGAAGGTCAGCTGTGAGTCTATTCTGACTTAAACGTACACAACAACAACATACACGTTGAAAACAAAAACAATCACTACTGTCTATTTGATTTCCACTCAGTGACCCTTCAGGACAGAGTCACACTTCTCCCTCAGGCTCCCAAGGCTGTGAACCTTCAAATAAGGAGACTTTCTCCCACAGAGCACCTGTCTCTGGCGAGGAGCTCAACCACTGAGGCACCAAGGCCTCTGTACACTTAATAGACGTCCAGCTTGCTGGGGGAGCTCTGACACAGAAATGGACAGCTTCACAGTGAAACCCAAAGGGCTATTCATGAACAAGTCCTCAACGTCATCTAGGCACTGGCCACTCACGACTGCATTTCCTTTTCAAAACAGAACATAGCACAACTTTTGTTGTTGACTGTTTTGTTTGGGTTTCTTAAAATTTAAACCAACCTTATGAAGTTTGATAGAAACTCAGAGCAAGCCTGAGTTAAAGCCCTTCATTAATCTGCAAACTAAAGCAGGAATCAACGACTGGTGTTTAGTGTTCACCCTGAGGAATAACTGTAAATGAATTTCCTTACAACAGGATTCCCCAACACAGTCTCATTTATCTCGGGGCCATGAGAATGGGGCGGGGTGAAGGGGGGTGTTGGGCATGGCCAGCCTGAGGGCTGTGGTCGCCATCTCTGGCCCTGGTTGAGTGTCATTTCATGGACTGATGGGAACACCCCTTTTTTCTCTCCCAAACCCAGAACATGTTCCAGGTGGAGGAGGTGAACTGCATCTGTGTGGATTGGAAGAAGGGCTCCCAAACCACATACACACAGGCCGCCAACAATGTGAGGGTGGTGGGTGCGCAGGTGGCCCAGATGCTCAGCATTCTCAAGGTGAGTCAGCTCTGGACTCCAGGGCACCGGTGGGTGGGAGCAGCACCCCATAGTGTCTGCCGGGTGACAATGCAGCTAGGAGTTGCATAGTTGAAGAGGAAACCAGGGCATTTCTCCCAGAGCTACGTTTCTGATACAGGTCTCAATAATGACATTCTGGTGGGAAAAAAAGATATCATAATAATAATAACCACAACAATAATAAACAACACTTAGGAGGTAGAGGCTTCAATTTACAAGGAAGAAAACTGGGTTCTAGGAAGGTTAAAAATCAAAGAGCAAGTGGGAAGATTTGACGTTATCCAGGCTGCTTAATTTTGGGAAACACTGTCTTCTCAATACCCCAAAAGGCTCTGTTTGCTAAATAGAGATGAAATTCGCATGTACCAACTCCAACATCAGGGAATTTCTCGTGCCACAATCATGCCAATTACTTCTTCCTACTTTGGTCTTTTTTATTATCTGTTGTTGTTGTTGTTATGTGCCATCGAGTCACCTTTACCTAGTTGGGTTTTTTTGTGTTGTTGTTGTTGTTTTTTACCTCTTTATTGTGATTTGAGTGGAAGTTTACAGAGCAGTTTTTCCATTCAGTAATTCACACACATTTTGTGTTCAGGCATTCATTGAAAGACCATCAACGTAACAGCACTTTCCCCAAGCCCTCCCTACATTTCCTGTTTCCATTTATCCTTCTTCCCTATCTTTTCCTTTTTTTCTGAGCTTTACTCCTTGGCAAATGCCCTTTTGCTCTCCTAAGATAAGGAGAGTGTACCTCCGTGGAATTATCGGTTATCTCACAGTCCAGTCTATTGTTTGACTGAAAGTTGAACCACTGGGGTGAGCTCAGTTCCTGGCTTAAAAATTAGCTAAACTGTTATGATGTTTTTCTAAATCAAATCAAAGTCTTAGTCACTTCTGGCTTATAAAGACTCAGCTGGTTCTAATTATTTCTAGATGGATACTCCATGACCACTCCCACAGACATTGAAGCCAGTCGTGTGAGTGTGCCAGGGCCTTTGTAGATTACAGATACCGGAGGACATCCATCCTTTGTGATTTCTCACTCAGCTAATACGTGAAATACATTTGAGCAAACATCTGAGGCCACCCCATGCAAATATGTCAAGGCTCTGTGCTATTTGCTTATTTACCCAATGTTATTTTTGGACACGGTGTCAGGAGCTGAGCTAGGGAGTGTTGAGGAGCACTGAGACCCCATCTTGCAGCAAAGACTAGCAATGGGAATACAATGTAAGCATGAGTCTTAGGGGGCCAGTTCACGGTGCTGTGGGAGCACACAGGAGGGGAACAGCTAACTGAGGCTGCGGTGAAGTAGATCCTGGGCACGTGATTGGAGAGATAGTTGAGGTTGTTATATGCTATCGAGTCAC